ATATATATATATATATATAAATGTTTATTGAAAGATTTCGATAACTAGTTATAACTTTTTTTAAAAAAAGCATTGAACAAACGTAATACTCGTGTGAAGATTATGGACCAAAATCAGAGACCAATCCATCTTTTTTGGCACAAAACATTATCTTCAACTTCGGACATGCCTATAGTACACACAGAATTTTTTTTTTAAACAAACAAAACCAAGTTTCTCCTAGGTTATACCAGTTGACACTTTAAGATTTCCAAGACTACATAAAATGCTAAAATAGGGACCGAATAACTTGACCTTGTTCACGCACCACTGGAGCGTGCGATTCTAAGTGCATATTCGCTTCCAAAGCGCAGAACTAGTCGTTCATTCGCCTGGCTGGCTGGCGTAGCTCATCCGAATTGTAGTTCTGTCGTTGAGTCGGTGCTACGGACTTTCTCAGGTAATCAAGTCAATTTTTTTTTTAAAATTATGTTGGTCAAATTAAAAAGGAGGAATTCTTTACTTTAAGGGTTTTTAAATATTATTATATGCGACGCTAATACAACTTTTAAAGTGTTTTAAATTAATAATATAAAAATGATAGAATATATAATTTGTTCCAATATTTTTAAACACGATATTAATTGCACCCGAAGACCATGAATGTCTTGTGTGGAGCTATTTAAAAAAAACAAAAAACAACATATCTTGAAATTTAAATTAAGGAAATAGGAATTCTTAACTTGACAAATGTAATTATAACCAAAGGCGTTAAAAATTATAGGGTATTTGTGAATCATCTTCATCTATATCTTAAGGGCCCACGATCAATTTATTGATCATTTTGGCTCCTATGCATGTAGATGGGATTTGCAATGTTTCTGTTACTGGTGTTGATGAGGAAATCATGCACTAGGGGTTTGAAGGCTTGAGGTAATAGACACAAATGTTGAGATGTAAGATAACTTTAAGCTCAACACCATTGGTTTAAAATAAATATTCCTTACTGATAATATAAATTCTTTCATTATAGTTCTGTGTATCGAAATAAAAAAAAAAAAACATTTCTCTTACACAACCATGTGTAAATAGTTTTAGCTAAGTTATAATGTACGAGCCAAAATTCATTAAAAACTTTTTCTACAAAAGTTTATTTAGATTCACATTTCTAATCCTCAGAACATTAAAGTTTGATTTTGACTCTTTCTACTCATCTATCAAATGTCTACATCAAATGTATTAAAATGTATTTGCAGTTCACCAGGCACATCTGTGACAAGGTAAATGATGTGCATATTCCTTTCATCACTGCTGGTCATTGTGTGCACCTTGACCACTGTGACGTGTGATGTCGAGTGGACTACACCAGCGCGATCGGAATGGTCCTTTGAATGCCCCAATGGACGGAGCTTAAAATTACTCCAGTCTGCAAGAGATGTCGCCAACAATGACAGACTGTGGACCTTCGGGTGTGGTGGGAACGACTCCAAGATCACCAACGTCACCTGTGAATGGAGCGCCTACGCCAATGACTTCGGCCAGACGTTCAACTACCAGTGTCCTAACGATGGCGTCATTACAGGTATACGTTATTTATGTATTTACACTTGCCTAGACTTTCCAACATTAAACTAAGATTATCGACACATATTAAATTATCAAAAAATTTTAATGTTTTTCCTATAATATATTTTCCACTAAGTACACTGTACGCAAATCTGATTTTGTAACATGTTCATGACCGACGGGCTAGACACACTCTGCTTATAAGACAACACGATTTAAAAAAAAAAAATTCTACAATCCAGGAATGGCTTCTTATTACGCTGGTACCGACAGAAGATATCAGTTTCTCTGTTGTTTTCCCACCGGATACATTGCCCACGCTTGTGTCTTCACGCCCAACATCAACGCCCTTGGAGAGTTCATGAACTATCGTCGGCCGGATTACTGGTACATCCGTGGTTACAGCAGCAGTGAGTCCCTATATCATCAGCAATTCGGGATGTATGACCGTATGTTCACCCTCAACATCTGCAAGCTGGACAAGCTCGTCCCTTCTAAATGCTGACCCTGACATTCTCTTCAAACATGTGCTGTGTAGATAATTAATTGATGGTTTTGTTTTAAGTATATTTTATTATTTTGATTTCAATGGTATAATTTTGAAATGAATTGGAACAAATTTTTTAAAGGAGACTTCATAAAATTAAAATTTGGCCGCTAGAAAGGAGATGGTATACTTCAGGTTTAATAATCATTATCTGTTATTGTCGAGAATGTATCCAAAATTATTTTTATATTAAAATCTTTTTAAAATATAATTTTTATATTTCGCTACGAAGAATATTGTCTTGAAAGCACGCTTTTGGGGAGCTGTTTTGGGGCTATTATAGAGCTTTTTGGGGCTGTTTTAGAGCTGTTTGGGGCTGTTTAGGGGCTGTTTTAGGGCTGTTTGGGACTGTTTTAGAGCTTTTTAGGGGCTGTTTTAGAGCTTTTTGGGGGCTGTTTGGGGGCTGTTTAAGAGCTGTTTGGGGACTGTTTTTGAAAGAGATGCACCTTTGTTTGCCTCAACGTGGCCTATCTTCTATTGGTTTCGGAATTGAAATTTAACACTTAAATTTAAAAAAAAAACTGGGTTATAAATGATATAATCAAACCCATGTATTATGCACATTCTTTACCATGGGAAAGCCATTGCGGGACCATAATGCTGAAAAGACTGTGCACTTTTGTTCCACAGCCACCGAAGACATTGTTCCTGCAATTCAAGTGGCACTACAAATAAAATGTTGACTTTTTGGCAACGAGTTTAAGTTCATTTTTGTTTGACCATGTTGATTTCATATCTCTTTAGAAGGATTCAAGAAGCAACACGGTCATTTGGAAAAAAACTATAAATTATAGTCATTTTATTTAATTCTTTGTCTATATCGGAATCATGAAACAGAAAACCAAGACTTGAATTTCTTAACGCTGCCATGACATTTTCTCTCTGTTAAGAAATGCTTAACGCCGTCTTGACATTTTCACCTTGTTAATAAATACTTGACGCTGTCGTGATATTTTCACCTTGTTAATAAATGCTTGACGCTGTTGTGACATCTTCACATTGTTAATAACCCCTTAACGCTGTCCTGTTCCCAAAGCAAATGAGCCAACTGATACAAAATTGACATACTTGAAGAATACAATGTGGCGATCAATCTGCCAATCAGCACATTTGATGGGCTATGTAATTATTTTCAACATGCAACAAAATAGCTTAAGTTGAGCAATTGTTTATCTGTTGCATTATTGACTTCTTACATATTAATAAAATTACCTTTCAATGGTAGGAACTAAAAGATGGACAAAGCGAATAGATCTTAAAATAATACTTGAAATTTGACATCATTTATTAAGTGTCACGTAAATGACATTGAATACCAGGCAAATGGGGAAGAAAGAAATAAGGGCAGGTACATTTTCCCCCCATAACGACGAAAAGCAAAGAGAGGTAGCGGCCAGGCGACACAATGTGGATTTTGCGTTACGAATTAGACTTACCAAATCTTGTAATTAATTTTTATATCTCTGCAATCAGTTTCCGTCTAACACCAGCACACCAGTAACTACATTATCCGATATTTTATTGTTGTTACCTGTTACGCACCATTGTCAGCAGGGAGAAATCAATCTCCTATTTACATTTATAGCTCGTTCCAAAACAGTACATAGCGAAAGACGATACCAAATGATAAAAAGAATAACAGAGAAATACGATACTCGAAGCAGAGCTAATTGCAATAATTACATTTTATTAAGTTAATAATAGAGTACAAAATTAAAAAAGAAATAAAAACTAAAAACTATTAACTTACAGTATATTGTGTGGCTGGTACCAGTACAATGTCGAATAAAACACAATGTGCAAAAGGGTACAAATAATGAAAGGAAGTCTACTGTAAATAAAGCACTCACACTCTCCCATGCTGTCTGCTTCTCTCTTTCTGGTCTGCATGCCATTCGTTTGTAGTTATAGTCTATTCCATAGAAGATTTGAGGTCAGAATACACATCGTAATAGCGTTCTACAGTGTTCTACCACATTCGAGCAAAGAAACAGACGATAGAGTGGTTTGTGGTAAAGAAGATCAAAGAGAGTAAGCCACGCCGAAAAATAACGCAGGCGAATTGGGGTCAGCTTAAGGTCGTTCTCCAGGAAAAGATTAAATGAGCGCAAAAATAGAACTCCTATATATAGCATTACCGCTGTTGAAATGAATTTCAATGAATGCATAGCATACGTGCTCATTTATATGTCTAACTTTTATATAGATTTTTTATAGCCAAACATTTTTAATTTGTATAAAAATATAACGGAGGTAATTTTATTTCGTTTCCTTTGAAACCAACATTCAGTTAACTGAAGCTTTGTACAAAGAAATAATTATAACCCATTATTTATAGTAAAAAATTTACGTAATTTTATCAGGTCTACAAATCAAAATCAATTTTTTTTATAATTTAAACAATAATGCAGTAAATGATGAAACCACAAGCTTAAAAAGGCAGGCACTGGACAGATTGGGTAGGTGCGTGTATCTCGTTCATTGTTTCCCAATGTTAACGACATTCAGCTTTTTTTGCCTTATATTTGTCACTATGACAAGTTTCTAATTTCGCTTATCCCTGGAAAACGGGAATAAAATGTTCCCCCATTCCGGGATTTCCCGGGAAATTCAGAGATAAGATTAATTTAATTGAAAATTTTAATTGTAAACTGACATTTTTTAAAATCAAAATATAGATTGTTATAGTTACTGTTGGTGAATTTGTATTGTCTATAAATGAATAGCAACGCGGAATGCTACCTTCTGTTACTGGGATTTTCTAAATATAATCTTTTTTTAAAGTTGTGGATCGTGTGTTGAACAGTTCGTAACACTGAACTGAAAAATCAGTGTGCAAAGATAAACTATACCAAATCTATTAATAACCATACTCAATTTAATTATGCTATGAAATTTATATAAGGAATACAAAATCCGATAGAAATAAAATCTATATTTACTTATAGCACAGCAAGTAATAAAGTACAATCCTCGAAAGATACAAGCTTTTTTTTACTTAAGCAACAGTCAAGTTAATCCCGAGATCACGAGATCACCGGAGACAAACCATAGTCGCTATGATTTCACTAGATTAGTTTTTTATTTTTTAAAAATTAAACAAAAAATAAAAAATTATCGATTAATATGCAAACAATATTTTGGTGAAGTAACCGATAAAAAATTAGAATTACCTGTTTAAATCTTATCTCCTAATCTGTAACCTATATTGGAATAATAATATTTTGTCGGGATATATTCTTTGAAAATACTTGAATAAAATTTCTCAGAATTTTAGTAATTAGTTTAAGAGGGTTGTTAGATAGGTTGTTAAAAACTGAAGGTTAGGTTCATCATTTAACAATTATCTAATATCTTGATATTATTTAGTTTGAATAATGAAAGTTAATATAAGTTTCATACAAAGATCCTCGACTCAAAACGATTAGTAGCATTACAAACAAATAATATGCGTTATATATATTTTATTATTTATATTACATAGCGTAACATTTTGGAATCCATGGCTTTTTAAAAGCAATTTAAAGTTCTCCTTCAATACCTGGAGACCTTAAATAAATAAAAAATAAAATCAACTTAACAGCGTCTATGTTTTTCCAGCCTGGGTAATATTTTAAGATTCGTTCAAATAGGTCACGTGATCTCCTCTTCTCAAGAACGCGCGTTTTGACGTACACTTATACATGGACAGGCAATGAAGTTGAAGGTCTCAATGGAGGCCTTTTTACTTAGAAGTTGGGGAACGTTTTAACAAAAGAATTCCATACAAATAAGCCATATTGCCCGAAGCGCGCGAAATAAATAAAGACGACGCAACAGTTTATTCAGGAAACGGACCAAAACCAACAGGAGCCAACACAGTGCGACCCAACGGAGCGTAACAAATCTAAAAAATAAAATCTCTTAAGCCACCAAATAGAATCGCACTTCTCCCCACATACACCCACACTCTCTTCGACTTTTTTTTCGTGATCCAATTGATCTCTTCACCCGCTTGTCGGTTTTTGTCGAATTTACTGAACTTCCACAATTTTACATTGATGCAACATTTTTTTTTTTTCCCCACTGTAATTCTACCCACTTCCTTTCTATTTTCATTCTAGTAAAGGACTTCGAAGGGACGTGTTAAGTACTTGTGAGGGACTTGTGAGGGACTTGTTAGGGACTTGTAGGGGACTTGTGAGGGACTTGTGAGGGACTTGTAGGGGACTTGTGAGGGACTTGTAGGGGAATTGTGCCCACACTTTATTTCTTTCCTTCCTTTCATTTCTTTCATAGAAACCAGTAAGTTTATGCGATGTTTGTTTTTACCTTACTGAGGACAGGCTTCAGCAGACACGATCTTATTTGGAGTTCGTCATTTGTGACTTATTTTAAAACACGTAGACCTACATGTATAGCGGAAAAGTCTGTAAATAGTAAGGCCCAGTCTCTTTAATTGATCGTCTGTCTTTGGGGTTGAGGCTCGAACTGAAGTTTTCTTAAAGGGCAATTTGGAAGTTTCAGCCAGTGCAGATTTGACCAAATTATTCGACACAATAAAATTAAGTCCTAAAAACACTTGTTTTATTTTATTCTAATTTTTTTTAATGTTTATATTTTAATACGACACATTATTTTGTTACAAAAACATACACAAAAAAAATCTAAAAATATATTGACCATCAATTTCAGATTAAGCGTGAAATAAGACATCCTTTGACGCGATAGAACCAAAGTTCAACTTTTGAAAAAACTTATGCAATAACAAAAGCCACACGTAACCTATTCAAACAGCAAGTCTGAAAGAAAAAGAAAATTCTTTTAAATCTCTGTATTTCCAAGACTCAACGAAGAGTAAAAAAAAAAACCGGGGTTCTTAAAAATAGGAAACTGTACGCTCCAGTGAAGCATGCAATGACGAAAGGAGTAAACTGTAACACCATACTTCATTCCCCTGGCAAGAGTAACTCCCGTACATAACTCTGTTGTCATAGATGAACTTGCCATTTGAGGTAAGCCATAAAAATAAAGATTTAATTTTCTTTGATATGCATTATTGTACATACATAATAGGACTAAATTCTACATTTCTTTTGATCATTACGATGCAATGGCAAAATGTACGTCTCTAAAAAAAAACACTTTCGTTTGGACAATTTTTAAGATAGCATAACAGTTAACTTCAGATTGATCTAAGCGTTTTGATTTAATGGTATTAATACTTTTCAAATTTGGAGTTTTGAAGTAAGTATCATTTTCAAAATGCACGGACAAATTTTTTAATAGCTTGTGTTTGTAAGAAGCTATTAGTCAGAATTCAGCTTATATAAGAAATACTTTTTTTGAATACATCGAAAATATTATTTAACAAGAAAAAAGTAATTGATAATTATTTCAAAACCAGACTAATGAATTCTTGTTTTATTTTTGCCTTATTTGAAAAAAAGACGTATTTAACAGAATAATGGGAAAGCGGTCTCATGTCAGTTTTTTAAGAGGGCCATTCATTTAATTCTGCCAACAACTGAATGGTCTGCATCAAATTTTTTACGACAGAAGCAGGTGAACGCTCCAACAAAGTTCAATACAAACGAGCGAGCATCCCTTCTACCCTAAGGCTGGGTTTCTTTAGGCTACCAACAACTGAGCGTACTATTTTGCTCATTCTGTGCCAACCGGTGTCCCTATCTTGTTCTGCCATCAAATTAAAAATTTTAACCGTAGAGTTGGTAAAATCTTTTTTTTTTTTTTCCTACCGCCTCTTCAGTCCAAAAACAGGTGAACTGATGAGTAGCTTGGTTTCCTCGTTGCTGGTCATTGTGTTTACGGTGGCCACTGTGACGTGTGATGTCGCCTGGATGACACCGTTAAGCACCTCATGGGCATTCGAATGTCCGAACGGCAGCGGTTTAAAGATACTGCAGTCTGCAAGCATTTACGCCACCAATGACAGGCAGTGGAGCTTCACCTGTGGTGATGACGACGCTGCACTCACGAACCTTACCTGTGAATGGAGCCCATACGTGAATGACTACTACTGGATGTTCAACTTTCAATGTCCTAATGAAGGCGTAGTGACAGGTGAGCTATTGTGTGATACAAAGTCTTCTTTTGTGTGTAGTTTTAAAAGTTAAATCTGTAAATATATTAGAAATAAGTCTAATGTTGCTCCTAGCCATAGCTACGCCACTTCATCGCATCATGCTATGGTAGATTTGACCCGAAATTACACAGAAAACGTGCATTATAAGAACATTTAAAATTATAATGATATTAACATTATTTTCATCCCACCGTAGGTATGGCATCGGACCACAACGGCTACGACAGAAGGCACACGTTTCTCTGCTGCTTCCCCACTGGGTACATCGCTCACGCGTGTGTGTTCACGCCCAACATCAACGCGTTGGGAGGATTCATGAACTATCGCCGACCTGACAATTGGTACATCCGGGGCTTCAGCAGTGAGTTCAGTCAACTGCCCAATGGCTACCACGACCGCGTGTTCATCCTCAACATTTGCAAACTGGACAAGCTCACTAGTTCTTGACCTGTTAAATCCTAAATATCAATTGTGAATCGCTCTTCGTATTAAACTTCATTTAAACTTTATGTTGTTCTGTCTTCTCTTATTTGTAATAAGCTTGTTTGAATGTTGTTATTGCACTATTATAGTTTTAAGGAAGTTTTGATGGCTAGATAAAGAACAATTTCCTTAAAATTATAAAAAAAATAAAAGAAAGATGCCTCTGTAGAAATATTTTTCAGGTAACATAATATGTGGAATATGGCGCAAAGCTTCTTTTTATTATTATTTTTTTAAACAAGTACCTGTCAATTTTCTCCCACTGCATTTTTTTGTGTGTTTTTTAAAATAAACTAGAAGATGTGACCCGGAGTTACTTGGGCAATAAGGAAATACATATTGCGCTACTTTCTACCTGCTATTGCGACGTCTTGACATTTTTTAAAAAAGCCCAGTTATTTCGTGCTCTATCTAACTGAATCGATTCGCGCATGGAGGCGGAAAGCCATGGATCGTTGCTAATGGAAGGATGTTGAGGAGCTGGCCAGGGCCCTACATGGGCTGTAGCACCATTGATGATGCTGACTATATAACTGAATCAGGACTTGATCAATTGCATACTAACAAACAAAACAAGATAGAAAATAAACGAATTTCTAAAAATTGTTTAAACATTTATGATCTTAAGACTAAGAAAAATAACATCTTATAATTCTTATTACAAGTTTAAATATTTGTAACATTAAAGTATTTCACATATTGTTATCTTCATTAAATAGGGGAAGTGATTTATGTCTAAAGAATAATCCTTTAAACGATTTTCACTTTATATATGGTACATTTTTACAATTTAAATATTTATATAATTTAAAAATGAAACATAATTGAAATTGCAGATATTGATATTAAAATATTCAGCCAATCAAACCACCCACCNNNNTAAAAATTTCGCCCCCCCCCCCCCCCCCCAAATTTTCTATGCCTTTGTATTGTAAACACAGAAAAAAGGTAATATACAAAATTCCTCATTTTATTTTAAATTATTACACTTTTTTTTTGGAGCTTTTATTCATGATTATTCTGATGTAAACATCAAAGCACTTGAACTTTCATTTCCAGCTTGGGTATAACATTTTTCATTATTTTAATAGAGAGTATTAAAACTTGTCTTTTTTCAAGATTTTCTTTTGACTTGCCAATGTATTGGGTTCAAAGAATAACTTTTTATTTTCACGCGTTACCCTCTCGTTCGGCCGTTTCAGTCGTTCTTGTGCTGACTTGTAAGGTCGCATCAGAGTTTATGGCGCTAAGTTTCAGCTCCTGCATGCTGCTTCAAGAGAGGGGGGGGGGCAATCGGGTGTAGAGTTAGCATAAGTCGTCAGCTGAAAAAGAGGACACTCAAAATTTTCATCAAAGCCCATTACCAACCCGTAGCCGGCTCCTAGGACTACGCGAAACTTAACTGTTATTAAAATAAAAGTAGAGTTAAGCTACATACATTTTTTTTTTTTATTGTAAATAGCATAATTTATGTAAAATTGTATTTTAATAAGCTACAACTGCAGCCCGTTGCTTTATAGTTCCATGTGGTGGTGCCTGACATTGTCAAACGCCAACATGCCTTCAGCTGTTGAAACAGATGCATCGCTTTTCGAACCTGGTGTTATGCAAGAATATGGTAACGCTGACACATTAAGTTTTCTGAGATAACTCTTAACATGCTTTGGCTTTTGACATGCTCCTTATAATCAAGTGCACCCTCATTGGCAACGGAAATATAAGTTCCGCTGCCGCATGTCAACCGTTCCATTATCTCCACCCGCAGGAAAGTGTCGGTGATTTGGTTTCACTGGGGCGTCCATTAATAAAAATTTAAGTATAGACATTTTTTTTTTAAAAATCAACTGTATTATATTTTACTTCAAAAATTATTTATTTATAATGAACTTGAGTTAAAATTATGGGCTGCTAAGATGTCGTTCGGAAACCGAAGTTTCGTTGGTTACCTTAGTAGCACTTAGCATTGAGCTAAATATTGCTGGCGTGCGTATTCACTCACGGATAAGTATGTAAGATGGTATCGGTCGGGGTAATATATAACACAGATAAGTATGTAAGAAGGTATCGGTCGGGGTAATATATAACACATATAAGTATGTAAGGTATCGGTCGGGACAATAAATAACACAGATAAGTATGTAAGAAGGTATCGGTCGGGGTAATATATAACACATATAAGTATGTAAGGTATCGGTCGGGACAATATATAACACAGATAAGTATGTAAGAAGGAATCGGTCAGGGCAATATATAACACAGATAAGTATGTAAGGTATCGGTCGGGACAATATATAACACAGATAAGTATGTAAGAAGGAATCGGTCAGGGCAATATATAACACAGATAAGTATGTAAGGTATCGGTCGGGACAATATATAACACAGATAAGTATGTAAGAAGGAATCGGTCAGGGCAATATATAACACAGATAAGTATGTAAGGTATCGGTCGGGACAATATATAACACAGATAAGTATGTAAGAAGGAATCGGTCAGGGCAATATATAACACAGATAAGTATGTAAGGTATCGGTCGGGACAATATATAACACAGATAAGTATGTAAGAAGGAATCGGTCGGGGTAATATATAACACAGATTGCTTCTTTAAAACAAAACTGCCCCTCAATTTTGCCCCTTTCTGGAGGCTGCCTTAGTTCAAATTAAACCACTCGGAACAGTGTTGGTAGGCTTATTTCACGTACCAAAGGCTTCGTATATAAATTGTTTTCCCATATCAGTTTTTGATGACCTCTGAATAAATAGCACTCGTTGATGTCTAGGAATGTTTCATGGCAGGCGTAAGTTAAGACGAAAATTCACTTGTGATCCCTAAAAAGATTTTACTTAAATAACGCCACCAAAGAACCACCTCCTGGGCGAATTCCCAGCCCACCCCCACCCCCTACCCCCAACCCTAAACCCGTTTCCTAGCCCACCGTGCTGGACGTATAACCCAAAACTATCACATAAACAGTTTTCCTTCAAGTTTATTGAAAACTTTCTACTTCCTGGTGAATACACAACTGTACGCCCCATTCGTTTTAAAATCGCCCAGCCCTCCTCACGGGATAACTTTGTGTACATAAACTTGTGGAAACCGTATTATCCGTTTTAAAGTTTTTGGGCCTTTCAACAAAAAAAAAAATTTAAAAAAAAAAAAAAAAAAAAAAAAAAAAAAAAAAAAAAAAATTCAACATATCTGTTTAGATTTTAATGGATTTTCATTGCAATAAAACAAAATACGTCATCACTGACATCACTTTCCTGACACTAATCGTGTTTTCTGGACTTATTTTGTGTTTTTTTTTTTGCTGTTTAGGTTTTTAGTCATTACAAATATTTTTGCGTTTTTTGTGAGAGCTGATACAACAAACGCGAAAAATAAGTGTAATTGAATAAATATGTAATATGTTGTGCCCAATGATAAATATTATCGTTCTTACATATGGTAGCTGCAGAGCACCGTTAAAAGTAATTATTGAAAACAACATGATGCGAGGTAATGACTATACATTTTTAACATCACAGGAAGTGAAGCAGTACGGAGTTAACCAAGAAACAGCCCAGGGACAGCATATTAAAAGAAGAAAAAAATATATATATCTGAATTTCAAAGGTGCCACTCATTCCCCTGAGCTGAGCCTTGACCTTTGTCAAGTAACGAGATTCGACGCTCCAGTGGAGCGTGCCATTACCCGGTCCACATCCAAAGACTTGACGAAAAAACAGACCCGCTCCTGCACCCACCGGTAAGGCTGTCGTGTTGTAAAACTGCCAGTTCCAGAATATCAGAGGTATGTTACATAACGCATTAATGGTTGACTATGATTTGTAGTATCAGAATCATAAAATCGTGCAATTGTCACTTTAAAAATAAACTGTTGACGTTTTGTCAAGTTTTATTTTAACACTAGGTGGGTCAACCCAACCCCGTCATTCGTATAAACTACAGGAAGATGTGCACATCAATACTAATAAATCCAGATGCACAGCACTTAGAGGTGTTTTTTCGTTGTCTTCATTGCACGCATTGACCGTGGGCCATGTTGCTGTTTACAAGGCCATAAAGCCTATAGGATCTGTGTCCTTATCTGGTATTTCGGCACAAACTATTTTGTCCGTTCTGGGTTTATCACCAGTGCCAAGTATTTACAGGAAGGGACAATTTGGCACAGCCTGTTTTTGAAGGCCAATGGTGTAAACATTTTTTTTATTTTGTGTGCTTTCGGTTTATACATGATCAAGAGCACTACGGGAGAAGCAGCGAATGAGAGCGCAGCACGGTGTGCATTGAGAGCGAGGCGGGCAAGATCCATTCGGGAATTATATGATTGATTAAATTATGTATACATAAATTGTTCTGATTGTCAGTGTGTGTTTTAAGAACATGGCTTACAACTTTCTATTTAAATGCACATTGCAATTATCTCTGATTCGAGCTGTTTAAAGAGAAAGTATTATTTTTAAAAACAAAATTGCTACTAAATGATATTTTCTCATTAAAAACCATTTGACATTTAAATAACATGACGCTGCTAATCTTAATTTAAAAGGTTAATAAGTGGAAATCATTAAAACAAAGAAAGGTTAAACCTGAAAAAAGGAACGCAACTAAACAACGAACGTGTTGGCAGGAAGCCTTCGCCAGCGAAGAAACAGAAAAAAATACAATTAAATTAAAAATATCACTTAGCTGAGCAGTATCCAAGAGGGCAGGAAATGAATTGTAGGCCACACTTAAACTTTAATATACGTCAGTATCGCAATTATTCACATCGGATTTTAAGTGGTGCAATTAATTTGAATGATTCCCTCCATCCAATCCATCTGTGAAGTAAGGCTTCATATTTTGCATCTCGTCATCATATGCATCTAAAATAATCTCCAATCCAATCTCATATTTGAAGTACGTTTTAAATGGCATCTAAACTTCATTTTTAAAATCTCCTACGGATTCTCTTTGTCTCTATTTCTCTGTAATTTAAACTGGGAGGCCTTCCAAACGGACACTGCAGTATCTTTGCCATGACATAACTCGCGTTCAACACATCCATACTCCAGATTATAGTTTTTTATCATTTATATTCAACCCCCCGACCCCCGACCCCCTCACGCCAAACAGACGAACACCATGATGAAGAGTTCCATCGTCTTAACTTTGCTGATCAGCATCTGTGCCGTGAATCGTGTAACGGGGGACGTCAGCTGGATGACAGAACTATACGCAGAATGGAAATTCGAATGTTTCAACGGAACGACTTTGAAGACACTACAGTCGGCCCAGGTCATATCGCAACATGACAGGCAGTGGAGCTTTTACTGTGGGGGAGTCGACTCCAAGGTCAAGAACGTTGCCTGCGAGTGGAGCGCCTATACCAACGACTTCGGCCTGCCGTTCAACTTCCAGTGTCCCAATGATGGCATTATAACAGGTACACATCAGTTGGACGACTTTAGGTACATATTTTCTTTCCGAAGCAAGGAAAAAAAAAATTATGCACCAATTTTAAGGAAGAGGAATTATTACCACATCTTGTCTTTTCACAAAGTTTAGCTGGGTCATTGTGTGCTTAATTTATGGAAATGCAAAAATTGCTTTTTTTTTTCAATTCATATTTTGAACTGCCTTTAACATAATAGCGTAACGATCGTTTGAGCCCTTGAATGACAGACACCAATTTCGTTTACACAGTTGAACACCTGTAATGTTCCACAGCGAAAGATTCTAAAACTATCTACCTTACGTATATATTATTTCACAGGCATGGCATCCTACTCCAATGGCAACGACAGAAGGTATCAGTTCCTCTGTTGTTTTCCGACTGGGTACGTCGCCCATGCGTGTCAGTTCACCCCCAACATCAACGCTCTTGGAGGCTTCATGAACTATCGCCGACCAGATAACTGGTACATCCGGGGCTTCAGTGGTGCATGGGGGACATCCAGCAGCGGATACTATGACCGTGTGTTCGGTCTGAACATCTGCAAGCTGGACAAGCTTGTTCCTTCTAAGTGTCCAGCATGAACTGTATCTGTACTCTAATCCAGGGTTTTCCCATCTTGGTGTGTGCGAGGAGATGTTTGGTGGATTCCAAAAAAAAAACTAACTGTTATAAATAATAAGAACAGAGCAGCCATTGACTTAAAAAGTACGACATAAATATATTAATGTAATTTTTAATGTTCTTATTTTGAAAGAAAAAATTCTTTATTTAAAAAAGTATACCTTCATTCTTTTGTTGTTTTTTTTTTAATGACGCTTTTTTTCTCTAATTTTAAAATTCCTTATTACTTGTATGTGGAGTGCGAGAATGGGTGCGATGTATGGACACGTTTGGGGAAACACTGCCTTACGTGTTAAGTTTCTTCTGATTAGTTAGATGAAGTGATTAGTTAAATGAAGTCACATTTCCCAGCAAAGTGTTCAGTACAAATATCGTGCTTCCTCTCATTGTTTATAGTTGAAGTTGAGCCCAGCAAAGAGTTCTATAACAAATATTATGTTCCTTTTTTGTTCAGGTTACGTTTTACATACCATCTCACCATCTTGTTCTTAAGTATAAGTAATAGGTTCCTCTAATTATTCATCACCAATTACATGTTCCGTCTAATTGTTTAGTAAAGGTGATTTTTTTTTAAATTTGTATATTTGTTTGGTATAAGTAATATTTTGATGTCCTCTAAGTAATGCATATGACTTTTTCTTGTGCTTATTAAAATATATATGATAACCATGTATGTCCTCCCTCTTGATTTACTGATTATGATCTATGACTTACATTAACCCTGAACGCATTGTCTGAACGGCCAAATTAGTTGTCAAAATATTAACCTTCGTCATGCCCTCTTCTGCATGGCCGTATAAGGCCTATTGCCTCAAGCCTTCAAACCCCTAGTGCATAATTTCCTCATCACCACCAGTAACAGAAACATTGCAAATCCCATCTACATGCATAGGAGCCAAAATGATCAATAAATTGATCGTGGGCCCTTAGGATATAGAAGAAGAAGAAGACAAAATAAGAATGATGTCTAATACGACACGTTGGCATTTAAGGCTAATTACAATGAATATCTTATACTTTCTATTAAAGTCTAAAACACGGGGTTTTTTTTTTATTATCTAGTTAACGCATAGCTGTTTAAGACAACAATTAGCTGTTGAAAACATTTCATAGTTTGTTTTGGTTTTGGTGGTTTTTTTTACAAGAAAATGACCGTCATCTACACAGACTTCCTATATAATATGATCCAAGTCTGTGTTAACAAATAAATTGAGGGCTGACACGGTCGTCTACACAGACTTCCTATATAATATGATCCAAGTCTGTGTTAACAAATAAATTGAGGGCTGACATGGTCGTCTCATTACGAGCATCTAATTCATTGTTTTCGCCTGGTACCGTGCATGTCAGTATACCAATGCACACGATCTTTCATTTCAATACAGGTTTGTCTAGCGCATTCGTTAATGGGGCTCTTTTCATGATTGAACATTTCCATTATCATCTATTTTTAAAATGAGTTAATAAATAAGGTGTCGTTTGGATAATAGCAAACACAATCATAATTCAAATTACAACCAAAATTAAAGTCACAATCTCAATCACTATTGCAATCGCAATTACAATTACAATCACAATCCCAGTCATAATTACAACCGTAATGCAATCGCCATCCCAATCAGCCCTTTACTGCGGCTCATTAAATGTTTTCTTAGCAGATGTAATTAATAAGCTCTTCACTCTATACAGTTTGTAATTAATAAGCTCTTCACTCTATACAGTTTGTAATTAATAAGCTCTTCACTCTATACAGGTTTCCGATCCCCGGTCTCGTCAATAATGTTTCGATCTAAATAACCAAATGTCTGTCTAATCAGCTATATCTGCCCGTTTAATCCAATTTTGACTCTCATCGAAAATCTTCCATTCTAGCACTGGCCGCTGGCCGCTTAATAATGTATGTGTCTGTCTAATCCAGCATCTCGCTGTAAAATCCGATGGCGATACTCAAGCTTGTTGAATTTAGTTAAGAAACCCGAAAAAAGTCAGAAAACCCCATCTATAACGTTAGCAATAGCCAGAATAAGTCATTTATAACGCCTATGATAGCCAGAAAAACTGATCTATAACGTTAGCAATAGCCGGACTAAGTCATTTATAATGCCTATTATAGCCAGAAAAACTGATCTATAACGTTAGCAATAGCCTGACTAAGTCATTTATAACGCCTATTATAGCCAGAAAAACTGATCTATAACGTTAGCAATAGCCGGACTAAGTCATTTATAATGCCTATTATAGCCAGAAAAACTGATCTATAACGCTGCAATAGCCGGACTAAGTCATTTATAACGCCTATTATAGCCAGAAAAACTGATCTATAACGTTAGCAATAGCCGGACTAAGTCATTTATAACCCCATCTATCGCCAGACAAGTACAACAATTAAATCGCTCCAGGGACGTAAACAAACACAACAGTCATGCGCTGTGATCGTAGAAAATGCAAAAGTTTAATGAACATATTAATACCAATTGATATGGGCTTAATGGAGTCAATAGGACCAGTTTTTCTTAGTGGTTTTAACGAACGCTCAGCTAAGCCCCTAAAACATTCTGTCGAAGTCAGCAGTTCAGGATATCTCCGTCAAAGCATTCCTTGCTATAACTAAAGTTGAAGGCCACACTGAATAAAATACAAGTTGAGTCCATAAAGTAAAGAACTCGGGGCAAGGATGTGGCTAAAAGAACGGGGGTCTCTGATTTAAGACGGCTTGAATTCTCGTAAATAATCTGCCCAAAAGATAATTATGAAAAAAGCACTGACAATGCAGAAGTATTGACAGCAGTCCTAGTTAACACGTCAACTCCAACGAGGCCACGGTTTCCCTGGGAAATGCTAGTGTAATCTTTTGCTATTAGCTATATCAATGTTTGTCTCCGCTGCTTTATCTTCATAATGGCCAAGCGAGAAATACATACTTGCATCTCATTGTTTTTACGTCCCCCTGAATCAGCGTCTCTCCTTTCCCCCCCCCCCCAAACGGTGGTCCGCAGACAGACTCCGGTCCACGAGCCTTAAGTTGCCGGTCCTCACAACATGATTATTAATGGTGCAATAATGAGAAAATATAAATTAATCAATCTGGCACTGGTCTCTGAACCCATTTCCAAACTATTCGACTAGTCAGCCAAACTTAACAGTTTGGGAACCGCTGCTCTAGAAGACTCGGGCAAATTGCGCCAGGTGTGTTTGTGTTCTTTATTATTAAATTAAATAAGAACTTAGAAGAAATGAATACTAAAAATTCAAAATTGCAGGCTATTTTTTTTTCAAACTATTGAGAGGAAAAGAATCAATGTCATCTAAAATGTTTGTTATTTTCTCCTCTTGACCTTGCGTTGGTTATAACTGTAAAACCCTGCACGTCCGTACCATCACCACCGGCCAGCAGAAATCAGTCTCACATTTCAAAGTTATCTTTTTCCAAGAAAGTCGGTTTCCTTGTGCTTGCAGTGTTGTGAGTGTGAGTGTACAGAAACGTGTTTGCGTACAGAAGAAACTAACTTGATTGATGCAAACGTCGGAGGTTACTTGTGGCTTGCTTTTTTAGATTATATTTTTTTCGGTGCAAAGGTAGAGGTCGTGAGGAGCTAAGTTGTCACGATAAACCAATGTATGGTGTCGAATCGTATTCGAAGCTATAATTTAATTCCTACTTCACTTTCCCCTACTTGGAATGTACCACGAAAACATTCAGTTGCTTATTCAGTACAGAAACTAAGTTTAATTGTTTTTGATTCTATAAAAGTATACATTTTTCATTTATACTCAAAATTTCATCCATTTCAATCATTTTTATTGATTGCTTTTAAAAAAATTTAATTTTAATTGATCTTAAATGTAAATAAATTCTTTAGTATTACGACAGATTCTGGTTTGTTGGAGTGTATATTCTAAACGTAAAATTTACTTGCGATTACCAGCTGGATTCGAAGTCTGTATTCGATACCATATGTGTATTCGATACCACAGAAATAAGCTAAACGTTGGTGAATCTGGCTCAACTTTGGCTATAAAAGTCTTGTCTCCGAAGACATAAGAAGAACTTTCCAGTTTTACAGAACAAGCGGCAGTCTTGGTCTGTCTTAACATTACCATATCTTCTTGCAGTTGCGTCGTGTGATCAAGTCTGGTTCAAGGTAAGAAGTATAAACTTTATGTAACCGTCTACATTTTAATGATTTCATAACGCCAAATCAGTTTGAAAATAAAAGAAGATTAAAATGCAACGAATAACTTGACGATATAGATTTCATTTAGAAATAAATTTCAGCACAAAGAGTTCATAAATTTGCAAAAGACACAAAATAATTTTGAATTTAAAATATCCTGTTCAAACAAATGGTTTAAGGCAGACATTTGGGAAGACTAAACGATGTATTTACAGCAGACCTGTCGGAAGAATAGCAGCTGTAGATAGTGGATAAGTTACAGGAACATTTCTGTCTTGTGAAGTCGAGGTCTTAAATCTGCAAAACAGTTTTTACTCGTTACTAAATAATTTTGTAAGAATGATTGCTGGCTGGCGTGCAAGGAGCAAAATGGAAAATTCCTGTTCCTGGAATAACAGAGCAATGACACCCAACGCCATTTAAAAAAAGTGACAATTTGTTGATATGTCAAGAAACGAAAATGCCCAATGTGGACTTGATCAACTTACAGATTTACAAACTCAGGTTAAAATTAGGATTTAACTGGCGGAACAATTGATCCGGAAAGCGATTACGTCACGTGCAACGGGCTTGGGCTAAAATGGCATTAACAAAAGAGTCATCCACATTCTACAGCGATATGAAAAGAGTGCAAATTGTTAAGCTTGTTGAAGAAACTACAAAAAAGTCCACGGTAATCCACATTCTACAGCGACATGAAAAGAGCGCAAATTGTTAAGTTTTTTTAAAGAAACTACAAGAAAGTCCACTGTCATTCACATTCTACAGCGACATGAAAAGAGCGCAAATTGTTGAGCTTTTTAAAGAAACTACAAGAAAGTCCACTGTCATCCACATTCTACAGCGATATGAAAAGAGCACAAATTGTTAAGCTTTTTAAAGAAACTACAAGAAAGTCCGCTGTCATCCACATTCTACAGCGATATGAAAAGAGCGCAAATTGTTAAGCTTTTTAAAGAAACTACAAGAGAGTCCACGATGCCAATGTAGCTTGCTACTGAAATTCGCAAAGATAAACAGTTCAAAATGCTGCACAATTTAAAGTCTCTTAAGTAACAAAATTGTATTTGATTAGAAAACAAGTTTAGTTAGCAGACGAAACATTTAAAAAAATTATTTAACATAATGTTTGACCTAGGTCAACAAATCTCAAACTGTATTACATACAACATATTTCAGAGATCATTCAAGATCGTGTTAAGGTTTGTCATCTACCCGGACGTGAAGAGATCGCTAGACTGAGGACACTTATTTTAAATTTCTTAAAGAAACTATCCAATAATCTAATAGAATAAAATGTTTTTCCATTTGCAAACTTGAAGTCATGCGACTGGAGAAAATTATTTTTTTAATTAAAAAAATTATGACGAGTCCAGACTATTTTATTGAAATAAGTGTCTTGAGATATAACAATGTTACAAAAATACAGCAGCCTATTTGTAACTGCACCCATTGCGCAATGGTTGAAATGTCTCATTGCACTCAGTCGGACCCAAAGTTAGTTCTAAATGAAAATCCTTGCGGCTTTGTCTGATACGCTGGAATTGGCCACTAGTCGAAGAGACAATCAAATTTACTGATCTCTTTCATATCCGTGACATATCTATAATTTATTTAAGTTATGTCAGCTTTTAAGATTGAACCATTCCATAATCTAGGAACAATTGAGCTACAGCCCCTGATGTTTTGCATTGTAAGCTTTTGAACTTAAAGATCGAGTTCAAAATTATATAGGATTTACAAATAATTAAAATAAAATAAAATAAATAATATATATATATTTTTTTAAAAATCAAGTAAGTGTTTTGTCTTAGTGTTCAGTGGGAAATAAATGTCTTCTAAGGGTTTAAGACCTAAATGGGTTGGGAAACGCTGTTTAAAAGCATCTTGAGTAAATTGGATATCGTACTTGCAAAAAAAGAAATCGATCGAGCCAAATACAATGAAAATGAATAACAAGTTGAATTTAAAAAAAAGTTACTCAAGTCATTATTGTCTATACATCGATTGTACATAGTTATGTATTTTTTCTTTAAATTTTTTGTGCAAAATCTTACCCTGCTAAAAAAGTATAGTGTTTAAAATATCTTATTTGTTTCTTATTGAGTGAAAATGTACATCCGAAACAAAGCGTGGATCATTGTGATATTCTCCTTCAACGTGGCCGGAGCTATCACTTGGATGACCAGCCTTACGGAAGAATGGGATTTCGAGTGTCCTCCCAACAAACCTATCAAAAATATCATAGCAGATTATTATAGTAACTACAGAGACCGAGTTTGGAACATCTCTTGTAGTGAGACAGAGATCGATGTCAACTTTACCCACTGTGAATGGAGCATCTACGTCAATGAGTTCAAACATCTTCTCATTTACCAATGTCCCAACGATGGAGTGCTGACAGGTACGAAAAGGTTCAGTAGCAGTGTAAGATAAGAATGATACTAATACGTCTAAACAAACCAGGTACTTACATTGATTATGGCAGGTACTGAGAGATTCAATAGCAGTGTAAGATAGGAATGATTAGGAATGTGGCCCCGCGGGGGGGGGGGGGGGGGAGGTGATTATGGGGGAGGGGGGGCTTGAACAAAAATTGAAAATGGCATGTGAAAATAAATATAACTTGATCAATGGCAGGTACTGAGAGATTCAATAGCAGTGTAAGATAGGAATGATTAGGAATGTGGCCCCGCGGGGGGGGGGGGGGGGGGAGGGGATTATGGGGGGGGGGGGGCTTGAACAAAAATTGAAAATGGCATGTGAAAATAAATATAACTTGATCACCGTTTATTTAACTTTATTTTTCGTTTAAAACGTAAAAAAAATATCGAAAATGAATAATAAAGTATTGCAAATTTTAAACATCAGTCCAGAGCAGTTACTACGCCTTTGATTTTTTTTTTTTTCAAATGTTTAAAAAATTATCAACGTTCTCTCCAAGGCATGGCATCTTATTTCGTGGCATCAGAAATTTTTGACAGGAGATATCAATTCCTCTGTTGCTACCCGCTTTCATACGTCACGCACGAGTGCCGGCACACCAAATTTATTAATGAGCATTCCGTGTTACTGAGCTACAGATTCCCGGACAACAGGGTCCTGCGCGGTGTGATCAGTCGACTGGTGTACTCTGACTATAAGCCAGATCGCCTTTGGAGTTTGAATATTTGTAAACTGGACCAGATTGTCGTTCCTCCACCAGAATGCTGAGCAGTCACTCAAGAAAACTTTTAAAGAAGGCAACAACATTTGATCATCTAGAATAGAAATTTAAAAAAAAAAAAAAAAAAATATTTTAAAAAAACGTATGTCAATCGATAGGTATTCCTTGACACTTGACGTATTTAGTATTAGGTTTGTGGCAATGCTCTTCCTTGTTTGACTTAAAGAACATATTGATCATGTTAATGTTACGTTTTAATGGAAGGAATTTAAATTCATAACATCATGTTTGTTTGCATGCTTATTTCAACGTCTCTTTTTTAAATCTCTTTAAATTAACTTCGCCTTTGGTGTGTTTAGGACAAAAATCTTCGGAAGGCTACTTGACCCACTCCCCGTCAACCTTTCGACCTGAAACATGGCATAAAACATCTTAACAAATTTTGTATCCGGCGGGTTGGGGAGTGGGGCACGGGTGGGGGCGGTCAGTGATGCCTTACCCAGACAAGATGTGATTAACTTAAAATGCAGTGATTCATTTTGGATCATCCCTAAATTTAGTTTTGCATCTTTCCACACTTAATCGGAGAGCAAGAAATATCTTAAGTTGTTACTAGCTAGTCCTGGCGCTTTATAATTCATTTTTTATGTGTTCATTACGTTAAGCTGTTTCATTAATTTTATTTATTATATTTTTTTTTTAAATTAAAATATACACCTATGTATTCAATACGTCCGTCAGAAATAGTAAGCAGACTAGTCACCTTCCAAAATATATCCTAGTTTTTCATTAGATCATAAGAAGTCCCAGTTTAAATTGATCTCACATGATAAATAAATTTAAAATGAAAATATATTGTCCATGTTTGATAGTTTCCAAGAATTAATTCAAAGTATATTCCTTTAGCGATGAACAGTTAGTTTATTTAGGCTTTGTTCTAATTATAGGCCGCACTTTCCCCCATAAAGTATGTCTTTAATCAGGGTATGTTACGACAACAACAAAATAATTAAAGGTATCAAAATAATATGTAAAAAGATCAAATACAAAGAGCATAGCGATTATGCTTTGTCCGACCATTCCTCTTCAAATTTAACATTTACAACTCTTTAGAAAAATGTTATAAACATGATTTTTTAATTTGTTTTTATTTTTAGATATCTTTTTCTTCGGAGTGGGGGAAGTTGACCTGATTGAGGATTTAAAGGGGGTGGAGTGGGGGGGGGGGGGTCAGGGCCAACCCCTACTGGAGAGATGCCTAAAATAACCTCTGGTTATAAACAATCAATAAATAAAGCTACCGATATATTCGAACAACCGGAAGTAGCTGTGAGGCTTAAACTTAAAGCCGAGAACGGCCAATTTTTTTTTTAATTTTTAAAAATTGCTTTAGTTAAATTGAACGCTATATCTAAATTTGCCTTACATATTCGGATCATGAAATATATAGAAGCGATCGATATTTCAATGATTACACTGTTGCCCTAATTTAATTAAAAGAGTTGTAAAAAATGACAAATTACTACTTTTTTTTTTAATTAATTAATTATATTTTCCTTTTATTGTTGAATCCATTTTTTCTATGTGCGGGGCAAGTGGAGGTCCATGCACACCTGGGAGAGATGCCAGAAAGAAATACTTGTGTCCAATGTGTTTAGAGTTATGCTTTGAATTCCAGTTCTTTAATCATGTCATATTTATCAATAAACTTGTCTCTACATCAATTATTGTTCAAGTCCCTTTGTGTGTTCGTGAATGTGTGTTAGTTTATTATTTTTTCCGTTTGTATGTTCCAGAAACACTCTTAATTCCACCCCCCCCCCGGGGGTCTCTAATCACTCCGGTACACAGACGGGACGAATTTCCACGTAGGAAGGAATTTGTGAATTGTATAGTGTAGAGTGTAGAGGTCAGAGGAGAACTAAATAACGTTAAGGCTAGAAAGGACGAGGCGAAGGTTCAAATAAATAAATAAAATAGAAAAAAAGATAGGGGGGGGGGAGAGATAGATAGATGGATGGAGGGAGAAAGAAAGAGAGAGAGAGAGAGAGAGAGAGAGCGAGTGTATGTATAGTTACCAATGATGATGATACTAACGGGTGATGCAAAACACAAAATAAGCTGCTCACCATTTTTTGGCTTTTTACTTCGTAACAATTGTCAAAAAGAAAATTGTAAGAAAGACCCTATGCCAAGCTTCATTACTTTTAGATCGAACATATTTATTGATAGGACTGAGCTTTACATCAACAATGAAGGCGTGAGCTTTTCAAAAATCTTGAACAGAAGAATAAAGAATAAAGGGGTTTCAAATGAGTGGGCCAGTCGACTCGTGTTCAAGACCTTCAGCTTCCAGCAGGATTACGTTATGTTGACCATGCCACTTAAAAGACCTTTAGCTGCCAGCAGGATTATGTTATTTTGAGCATACCATATAAAAGACTTTCAGCTGGCTCCAGGATTATGCTATGTTGAGCATGTCCTTGTTTCCTAAACATTCTTCTATTGGTACGGCGACCCCGAATCTGACCATCCATCTTCAGCCGTGGACGGCAAGTGTCCAGTTCACTGCTGATTATTCACTCTATAATCTGACACCCAAAATATTGTTGTACATTATTTTTCTTTTGAACGGCGCCATTTCGTTTATACATTTGGCGTCTTTGGTTTTCTTACATTGATTTTTTAAAAATAGTTTTACTCCCTTAATACGCAACACGCCAAAGAATAAAACGCTCGAAAGTTCAACTTTCAAGTCAACTAACGTCATTTGAGCAGTCAAGCAGCGCAAACCAATTCAAATCTTTTCAAAAAGCTCCAATACATTTTTTTTGTTTTTTTAAACGCACGTCGGGTTTAGGTGTTCATAGTAGAAGAATGTAGCTTGAAGGTCACCTTCAAAGTCTATTCGATGAAAACATAAAAGAATTCCTTTCGTCCGCATCCAAGAAATAGGACAAGTTGATGAAAGCGTTGAAGAAAAATAAGGACATTTTTTTTTTCCCGGGTTTTTTTTTTTTTTTTTTTTTTGGTTCTTTTTTTTTTCTTTTTTTAAATTTTTT